CCAGTCGCAAGACCAGTCACAAGGCCAGTCACAAGACCAGTCACAAGGCCAGTCACAAGACCAGTCACAAGAACCAGTCACAAGACCAGTCACAAGACCAGTCACAAGGCCAGTCACAAGGCCAGTCACAAGACCAGTCACAAGGCCAGTCACAAGTCCTACGGATGAGTAGAATGGTTATCCTATTCGTGTTTACACTCTCTAAATGAGTTTTTGAAAAACTGAAGTGGCTTAGAATGAAGCTGCACAGTTTACTTCAGTAGACTGTGAGGTACAAGTCAGGATTGAGAGGTGGGTCTTTCTATAAAGTAGTGGTCCTTTTTTGTCTCAGTCACATCTGACACATTATTTTGCATTAAAGTTCAGAACACATTTTCAAATTTCCAATAGTGATGAATTAATGCATATTACCTGGCAAACAAATAGAAATAGTTTGAAATCAATTTCCGTGGTATTTTCATGTCACATTACATAGGTCAGGTGTGACAGCGACACAAAAATGTCACACTTTTGGACCTTGAGTTTATTGAATGACCGGAGGTGGATACCTGTAGAGCATGTGATCTGACAAAGTACACTCCATGATTGATGACGGGAAGGCACAGAACAGACATCAGGTGTAGGTTTTCAGCAGGTTTCATTTTTGTTCTTCTCCACCCTAGGCTCAGATCGTCGCACCCTTGTGGAGGACCATATCCTACTCCCCAAGGGCTTAGCAGTGCTGGGTGATCACCTTTATTGGGTAGACAGACAGGCTGAGATCATTGCCAGGGTCAACAAGTATTCCGGTAGTGGATGGGTGCGAATACAAGGAGAGACGAGTTACCTGACGGACATACAGGCAGTTGGGATGCCGCTACAAGGTCAGTCATATCATACAGAGAAATCCAATACACACTGTTTAAATCACTGGGACCTGTTTCACAGTGAACCTTCCTGATTCCAACCGAAATTTATTGTTGCTGTTTTTGATACTTCTGTATGCTCAAAAGTTGAACGCCAGATCTTGTGCAGAGTTACTAGTGCTGGGCTCATGCATTCCTGAAGCCTTGAAATTCAGATGGCATCAGGTGTTGAATTACAGTCAGCTTTAGAGAGATGAGGCCACATGGAGTTTTAACCTGAGTTGCACCTGTTCTAGACGGATGAAGCAAAATTAAGCAGGTGCCACGTTGAGGTTAACCTCATGGTTTCACAAGGTTCAAGTGTTTTTATAGGGGTACGTCAGGGTAAAATTTTGAGCTACCTTTTATTTAAATCTTCATTCTTTCCCAATGCAAATACAATGGAACTGTTCTTCTGTCTTCACAGCTGACCACCCCTGCATAGATGACAACGGCGGATGTTCTCACATTTGCATCGCTATGGGTGACGGCCAATCACGATGTTCATGTCCTCTTGACCTGGTTCTCCAAGAAGACGAGAGTACATGTGGAGGTAGGCAAATATATTTTCTGTGTCTCAGGTCAACTCGCCAGCGCAGAAAGGGAAAGAATCTGTCATGCCAAGATACCGTACATGTTCATCGGTTTTCTGTCTGTATTCCCAGCATTCCAAGCAGAAATGGTTTCTAATCAGGAACAAGTGGAGGTCCTACTTTGTGTCTAGGATAGGAGTATTTCTTCCCGTCATTCATGTATACTAGAAAGGCTCCTTCTTTTAAAGAGTTTATTTCTTTAAGGAAGTTGTTATTCCTGAATATTTCTGATCTACCACCAGATTTGTAATACTAAACACGTAGCAAAGTGTAAACGTTGTGCAGCTTGGGTCATCTTCTAGTCCTTTGCCCGCTGTTGTCAGTTACGAACCGTTGATTACTGGGCTGCATTTTGTTCTCTACAGATCCGCCCACTTGTTCTACCAAGGAATTTACCTGTGTGTCTGACAGTAACCTGTGTGTTCCGTTGTCGTGGCGATGTGATTCCGACTTTGATTGCGATGACCACAGTGATGAAGAAGATTGCCGTAAGTTGACCGACTACTGCATTCCGTCTGAAGTCAAGATGCTGGATTCCAAATTTCTACCTGTTGCCTTATTGTAACTTCATGGTCTCTGATGATGGTTTCATGATTTTCTTCTCAGCATTTTGCAAGCCTAACGAGTTCCGATGTGACAATGGCCAGTGTATTGATATGGTGCTTCGCTGCAATTCCAAGAACGATTGCTCGGATGACTCGGACGAGCAGTACTGTACGGCTCCCTGCCGTGCTAACCAGTATGAATGCGTCAACAAGCAGTGTGTGGATGTGGAGAATCCAACGTGTGATGGGGTCAGACATTGCTACGATGGCAGCGATGAGAAGAACTGTGGTAAGTAGTCTCACCAGTGGTGAGTAGCCTAGGCTCGCCAGTGGTGAGTAGCCTAGTCTAGCCAGTGGTGGGTAGCCTAGGCTCGCCAGTGGTGGGTAGCCTAGTCTCACCAGTGGTGGGTAGCCTAGGCTCGCCAGTGGTGGGTAGCCTAGGCTTGCCAGTGGTGAGTAGCCTAGTCTCACCAGTGGTGGGTAGCCTAGGCTCGCCAGTGGTGGGTAGCCTAGGCTTGCCAGTGGTGAGTAGCCTAGTCTCACCAGTGGTGGGTAGCCTAGGCTCGCCAGTGGTGGGTAGCCTAGGCTCGCCAGTGGTGAGTAGCCTAGTCTCACCAGTGGTGAGTAGCCTAGGCTCGCCAGTGGTGAGTAGCCTAGTCTCACCAGTGGTGAGTAGCCTAGGCTCGCCAGTGGTGAGTAGGTCTCTATTGAAGTCACACACTGTTCATGGAGTAAGGAGCGAACACATTCCTTCATTTTTGTGTACCTTTGGGAGAAGTAAAAAATCTGCTGACTTGAGGAAAATAATTGTGAAGTATATTAGACAGAATTGACAACTCTACATCTTGCCCGAGTCAAAGTAGTCACTGAAGCCAAACAGGAAAACCCCAAATGGCCTTAAGATGCCTCCAGGGCTTTGGTTGTTTCGGTCATCAACAAGTGTCCACAAATGCACGGTTCTCAATGTCATGTTCAACTTTTATACCTTTGATGCTCGGTGATGTTTATGGTCTCTGTTTCAGATGAAAATCCGCAGGAAACTCCAACAATCAACAAACCGCCTGAAATGTCCGGCGCTGTGATAGGAAGCATCGTGGCTCTCATCTTTGTCATCTTCATTATCATTGGTCTAATCATTATCTTCCGTCACTGCCGATGTGGAACTGCACAAGGGGGCATGGCTGGCCGAGGGGCAGTAGATAATGGTCAGTACTCCACGGTACTGATGGTCAACCAGCTGGGTGGACGAGACTCGTCTAGTAAATACCTCTCAGGTCAGTCCGGAAGTCTTGCCAACTTTAATAAATATCACACCTTTGTGGGGTACTTTCGGCATTCTCAATACAGACCATTATCATGATGTTGCCATGTTTGTCTTGTTCCCTGTAGACCCATTGGCAATAATAAAACAATTTCACATATTGATAAAAGGGAACAGACTATTTTTCCATCCAGCCTCAGTTTGGTTACATTGCTTTGAATGGTAGGAAAGCAAGATGGCTGCCCCATGATAGAGGTCCATATCAAATCGTCTTATTTACATAGCACAGTACGTCAATGATGCTGTCATTCCAAGATGAACCTTGGTATCTCAGGCAAACCCAGCCCGAGATGTCACCATCTCTTTGAGAGGGCATCTCTAGGCCTCTGTCGACCGAGTGCATCAAAAAGCTTGAACTCTCCTCAGAAGTAATTAGCATTTGCTGTATCTGTCGAAGATGCTTATCTTTGTACTTCAAAGTCTTCCGTATTACCATTGGCGCCTCATGGTTGAATTACATACATCAGTCCTACAGGTGGCTCGGTTAGATGTTGTCTCAGTCAGTAGGGTAGGAGACTATGTTTTCAATGAATTTGGATAGATTTACGTGTAATAGACTTGGAGACATTCTTAATAGATGTCCCCATGCTGTAGAAAACGTAACCCTAACTCCCAGTGGTGGGTGTAACATCATATTGAAATAGGAGGATTGAGAACCGTTCTGATTACATTTGTAAAAGAAAAAAGTGATGAAGAAGGCTCGGCGATTTTCACAAGGTTTGGTTGTTGTGTATGATTCCTAGGATCAGCTCGCTGCAGCAACTTGAAATCCACCAACCTTCACAGCTGTGCCAACGGCAAGAGCGGCAGCAGCAGCAGCTGTGGGGGTCTGTTTGAGCGTGCTCACCCTACTGGCGCCTCGTCCTGTAGCTCCGAGATGAGCGTTTCCGGTAACAGTAATTACCCGAAGGAGACGTTGAATCCACCACCGAGTCCTGTCACCGATCGTTCCCAGTGTATGGCCGACTTGTACTACCCACCTCAGAATCCATCAACCAGTAGATCATATCGGTGAGTGCTGTGCAATACCCTTCAGAAGCCAAGTGAATGGAAGAATCCTAGATCATGGGTTTTTCAAGATAGTTTTCAGGATGAGTGGGGCACATTTTCGAAGCAGTTCAGTATTGTTAGAGTGCCAATAAAATGTTGGAAAACTAAGTCTTGTGAATGTTGGCATAGCCAGAGACAGATTTATACTTTTCTACAAATTGCCATCAGACGTTTGATGATTTGATGTCTTAGCAGATTTAAACGTAACTGCTTATTTTTGTGAAATTTCAGAATTCTCCAAATCCATGGGGGTGTATATAAAGATTAACTTCTACCTAATTGCGTACATTTGTGAAATATTATTGTGGCTAAGCTGTACTGGCTTTCTTCAATGCCGTATTTCTCAAAAGGCAGTTTTGACCACAGCAATGTTTCCCGTCATCTTTCTAGCGTTGTATTTTCGGAGCGGAGTTGCCTACGAGTATAAATGTGGAAAGCCCATTCCTTTCTCTGTATTCTCATAATATTCTCATATTCTCTCTTATTCTCATATTCCTAAATGGGGATCGTTCCTCATTATGCCATGGCAGGTCACAAATTTTATTGTAGCTAAGCTCTACAGGCTGAAGGCCTTCAGAATGATGGGGAATTCTTAAAGCATAGTAAGAACAGGTTGCTAGACAATTGTCATGCAGTCAGTATTTTGTGTGACCCATTCCCAGCTGAAATGTACTCATCACAAATCTTTGCTGAGCAGTCTTTTCATCGCTCAGCTTTAGGAAGGGTTGCTCTGATGTTTCATGTAATAAGTCCTGAATAGTAAAGACATGCAAGAATGACTTCAGCGTTACTTACCCACATATTTCTTCTTCGTAGACATTACAAGATGCGCAACATCCCACCTCCACCCACGCCTTGCAGCACTGACTTCTGCGAGGACAGCGAGCCTTACGTCAAGACACCGCACCACCAGAAGCACCACGCCACGCGCCGGAAACGTGGCAACAAGTATTACACCAACGTGACGAACTTTGACGTCGCGTATGAGCCGGAGCCGTACCCGCCTCCCCCTACGCCGATCATGTCGGACAATAACTACGAGAGTTGCCCGCCCTCTCCGTCGACGGAGAGGAGCTTCTTCAATCCCTACCCACCTCCGCCCTCCCCAGCCACGGATTCGACGTGATGGCAACCAACGGGGAAGTGCGGACTTCTGGAAATTCTTTACCAGTATCTATCAGGGTTTGTATTCATTTGGAATTGGCATCGTGGACAACACCAGCCCTTCATGTCATCTCTGTATTCCTCCATGTCAGTACTTGACACCCCTGTCATCTTCAACCACAAACATTGACAGGACTTCATCTAACAGTACTTATCTCCATCTGCCGCTGACAGGTTCGTCAGTCTCCAAGGCATGGCTGCAGTTGTCGACTGTGCTAATACAAAAGCCACATCTGAATCGATTATTTTGAGGCTGTGGCTTTAATTTCACCACTGACAATCTACAGCGCAGAGCTGTAGCCATAGCCACTGAAAGCCTATGTTGGATGTAGTCTCAATTTCCATTCATTCAACATACGCACAGCGCAGGTGCTGTGGACAAGTTTGTCTACTCCTCACACAAGTAACCCCCCCCAACAGTCGCGTTCGGTAAAAGAGAAGTTTTGGTAACAATTGAATGCCACAGTGTGTCCAGGGACTTCAGTAGCTGCACGTGTCATTTCCACCTGTGGCCGTGACTTTCATATGTGATCGTAACAAATGACCCACCTGCTGTGATCCTTCAATATTGACATGATGAAAAATGCACAGAAGCCAATGAAAGAAGTCCTCTGGAAGAGCTACGACAGAGTCTGGTGTCCGCACATGCTCAGGCATTCACAACCAGAAGACGCCAACATAGCTCTAGAATCAAGACATGGATGTGGTCTGAGTCCTGCCTCTCTCTCTGTTGGGGAGACTACCATTGTATTCCACTTACCACAAGTCTCTTTTCTCTGTTTTTATCTTGAGCAGCGACTTAAATAGTTCGCTGTGAAGAATTCAGTTGACAATCAGGTTTCACGTCCTTAGACCATTTTTACTTACTTTTATTTCTGTTTGTACAAAGGACTCTTTCTGGTTTTTATTCCTTTTTAGTATTTATACCTCATCAAAAGTATATATTTTGTATTACTTTTCAGTTTGATTTTCTTTTTATGCAAAGTACGCCCTGTACCTGTAATCTGTAAAATAATCTTTGTATCATGTACACAAAATTCATCCAGTGTATCGTTGAAATGACCTTTGACATTGTTCATGAACTTTTGACCTCACTGAATGTCCTTTGACCTGGATTGTCCACGATCAACCAAACGTGCGGGTATGTTAGAAGTGGAAGTGTTTTATCTCACGGTGTATTATAATGTAAATATTTAAACAGAGTTTAAGAATATTGAATATATTTAAAACATACAATGTAAACCTTTTGAAAAAAACAAGAAGATGCAAAACCCATCCTTAACCCAGTCAGATACATATCCAATCAGACCAAAATGATCCAACATACACTCTGGTTTCTCTGATAGCCCACCGAAACAGATTTTGTTTCTTCATGTTGATCATTCCATGACATAAATGATTGATTTGTAAACATGGGAAGTACTCGGCATAAAAGTTCAATCTGTTTCAATCGAATCCATCTCGTACCTTATTTTCAAAATACCATGCAACCTTATTCGAAACCTGTAATATTCAGTTCAAGTTAAGTTATGGTTGAAAAAAATATCTCCCAAGATGGCAGTTTCTGGAGTTTTCGTGAAGGTTAATTTGTTGTTGCCTAACCTGTATTCAGCGTTTACTACATGCGTTTGTACTTTTGTTATAGTTCTGTCAATTTTAACAATGTTTTAACAGTGCCATTTTAATATAGCAATAGAGAGGTGCATTTTGAAAATGTAATATCAACATGCGCGGCATGCTTCCAAATTCCTTTGATAAACGAGAAAATTGTTTTAAGTAACGGGGAAGGTAGATTTAGACCATGTTTTGCAAGGGTAAGAACAGATAATTTATGGAAAATATGCCAAATTATGTACATAATTATCTATGCTGCACATTCAAGAATGTTATCTCTGCCCCATTTTTGTGTCCATGGTACCATGGTTGGCCATATCATTGCACAATATTCACAGCATCTTTCACCATACAAACTTCATGTACATCTATATACTGCGATAAGCTGGAAATCATGTTGTCGAAATTATTCAGATTTCAGAAGGCTGATTCATCGGTCATACTAATTGGATTCTGGAAATCTTGTGGAACACCCTGACATTGTGAGACAGATTGTTTTAGTCCTAGTTTTTGACAGGGTCCATGTCTGGCCTTCAGGGGATGCTGTCAGAATGAGCAGTTGATACCTGTGATATTAGATAATCGACAGTAACCAGACTAAGGTGATCCTCGCTGAGAGAGAAAACTTGAGATTCCTGGCAGTATTCATGGTCTTGCTACTGCAGGAAGAATTTGTATTCACAGTACTTAAGACTCTTGCGGCTTTGGTATTTTATCTGACGTATCGATATTGGGAAAGGCAGAGATAAAACTACACATTCTGAGTATGTTTGGATTAATTTTACAGGTTTATTATCGTTTGGAGAACTATTAGAAGTATTGCTCATTTTCTGATGTCCAGCAACAGGTGTATGTTAATTGGCTGTTGGCCTACTCATTACCGTAAACCAAGGACTGATAGGTCATGTCTTGAGTGGTATTACTTTCGTTTTGAGGTAAGCTGCGAACATCTCATTGGTGGAAGAGGTTTTGGTTCGCTCCTATCCTGAACACCGTCTAGTTTGATTAAACAGATCGAATAATGTGTGATATCAGGCTGTGTCCAAAGCGTACCTCAGGCGCAGTTTTTAAGTTTTGGTCACCTGGTGGGTCGCTATTTAGAGAAAACTTCAGCCAGGATACTGGGTACACGTTGACAGTGAAATTGGTTTATTGGAATTTTGTAGGAGACATTGTATGCATTTCTGAACGAGCTGGAGACAGCCATACGAACAATTTATATTTGACTCTGAAAACCAAAGCCACAAGTACTTTGATATGAAGTTTGGGCACATGAAAAGCCTGCCTAGCCTATCTCTACTAATTACGACAAATTATGTGCATGTTCATATCGTGGAATCCATTTGACTACGCTGACAAAAACTGTAACGGGAATAATATTTGTAGGATTTATCTCATACCACGGAGATATGTTAATGGATTGAGGCCAGTATAGAGTAAGTCCTTAGGAAACAGACACGTTGAAAAGAAAGGTAAAAGTGTCGATTTTATCCAATCAGTTTGTCGATGTAGCGGACATTTTAGGCCTAAGGCCCCTTTGCAAAGCGGTGAGGTGTTAAGATCTTTCCATCCAAACTGCCTAAATACGCATGCATAAGAATAGTACTCATTACTCCAACTATGTGATCACATTGGTGCGTCGTTTACCAAGTTATGTATTCTTTAGTGTTCTGAGTAGAAACATTACGTACTTAACCTCTGTGAAGGGACTGTCGATGTTATTTTGTTACCAGTTTTGTTACTTGCTATTGTACTACGGCAGCCATGCATATTTTTATTGTATGCTTGTCCGTGGACGTCAAATCTGTACCATAATGTAACATACTCCGTATGTAAACTATTAAGAATAATTTGCGATTAAAAATTTATACATTTTGTACAAATGTGGAACGGAACAAAGTTTGGTTTAGTTAGTTTTGTGCACGAGTCGCTTCATGTTACAATCATGATTGAGAAGGTGGATGCATTGAACAGCAAAGGGCACGTAAGTGACGTTTACAGAAATTATACAGGACAAGTCCGTTTCCCCCAGAAATAGTCATCTCCGCTGCAATGCATAAAAGAAATTCATAATGACTGTTTTGCATTTTTCCTTTGAGGTGTTTTGAAGCTGTGTGTGCCCCTTGTTGTAAGATGTATCAATCCAGAATACTATAATAATTAGCAAGCATCTTGTGTGAATCAGAGTTTACACGAGATGGTCCTTGACTTCAGAAGTGAGGGCTTGATGCAAAGAAGGTGCTTGTACACGGAAATTCTTCCTTCTTTCCACAAAACGGGGCTCTGATCCCCTGGGGAATAGTTGCAGAAATGCCGAGAACGAACAATTTCCTGTTGGAAAATGAAGTGTGGGGCGATAATGTTAGGCCGCTCACTCAAGTGATCTGACACGCTCGTTGAAATCGAAGACACTGAGCACTTTCAGAAAGGTTGTTAAAATCCCATGGACTCGAACGAGCCAGCTGTATACATCATTGTCACAAAAGCGCTTTGGTGCAAATAAGGCCAACAAAAAGTTTTTTGTCTCTGGTCAGCGCGTCTGTCGATGTCAAGCATGCGTGTTTTTCTATGGCGATCCCGAGAAAGTCGGGAACACGAGCAGAAGAAACGAGAGCCGACGTCGTTAGGATGTAGGACCAGTAGGCCTGCGTTGGACACCACAGGATAGACAAGAAAACTCAGGCAAGTAAACTTTTGCTTTTGAGAAAGATTCTGCTAGGATCCAAACGTCAGGCCCTCCCTTTTTTGAGGCAAGTAAGCTAGACAGGTTTGGGGTAGCACCATGGAACATGTGGGGCTCTGAAAAGGACCAGTGGAACTCAACGTTTCGAACATGTCGACAGTATGCTCGGTCCGTCGTCGGGAGAGTACAGTACCGCCGGTTCTTTTCAGAACCCCACATACTCAAAAAAGACAGATACCCATGGAGCAACCGCTGTACCTCCACCATGAAAAGTTTCAAATCTCATGAAAACTCAGGCAGCTCCTACTTAATACCTAATGATGTCATACACGTGGCAACATAGCAACAGGCATAGATTTGACTGTTTATGGGGGTCGGTTTTATTTCATGACTCCTAGCCTCAATTGAGAGTAATAATTAAACTGGTAATTCTGTAACACGAGAATTTAACGATAAAGCTAACTTCATGCGTATATCAGAAATATACGAACTTGGAATTAAGTCACTTCACTTAATGTTTCGAATTTTGGGTATAGCATTTTACATTTTGTTTCGTGTAGGGCCCTATTCTACAATCGATAACACAGGATAGGTTTGAATATATCTGTGTATGTTAACAAAACATTATATTAATTTTTATTAAGCTGAATGAGTGATACAGTTCCGCTTAACAGGCGGCATGAATCCATTTATTGTGACAGAACATTGAGTCAAATATCGATATTACTGCAAAACTTTCGATATCCAAATACTTTGAAATTGAAACATATATTTGTTTGGCTAATTGAATGGTGTAATTCTGAGTGACACTTGATACATGTCAACAGCAACAACTCCACAACCGGTTTAACTACCGGTATGTGAATCACATATCTTGTGACAAGCTTAATATTCTCAGGACTACAAAGTTTTCGATGAACAGAACAGTTATACATTAATGAGGCATCCACCGTTTTTATGCTGGTCCGAAACTGGATGTTTAAAAAGGAAAACTCGGTGGATCATTAATCAATAAACGGATAAAAGAACTTAGTTTGGATGGTGTAAAAAAAAAATTAAACAGAACGTGTGCTACGTCTTTTTGCGCAGAGAGTACTTTGAATGCCACGATTATGCACATTGTTAATTCGAATAGTCTGAGAGGCAACCTAATGTGGGTCAAATGTCACCGTGACCGACGATAGTACGTGTATTATGTAGTCGCTATGGGCAGTTTTGTGGAAGGTTTAGCCAGAAATTCGCTTCTACAAAATATTCTGTAAATCTTTTTTCTTCTGTTTTTTAGGCCAAGACAGTTTCTCACTTGTATTGTTTCTGAGTATTTTCGACTTGGAGTTTGTCCACGTTTTGTATCCCAGTTTTGGATTTGCTCAATCTCGAAGTTGGTTTAGAAAACATCTGATGAATTCATTTCTTCTGCCCTCGCAACCCCAACCCACTTCATGCATATAATGAGATCACTGAACCATGCATGATAGAGCTTTTTGTATCTCATCACCAGGGCATTCGAGGATTTTAATCACGCTGTCGATTGCTTGTACTATTTTGGGATCGCTTGTGTTCACGTTGGTTATCAACGAAAAAAGATTTAGTGGAACCGCTGCAATGGTGAATAAAGCGGCGCCAGCTACAACCGATCCCACGCCCAACTCCTCACCAGCCGCTGAGATAAATCTAAACAAAGACTCAATTGGGTTCACTTCCTTGTTTACCTTGCCGAGTAGTTTGGTGACGGCGGGACTCACTATTCCTGCCGAATTGACAAACCAGGAGGACTTTGACCTTTCCACCACACTGACAAACTGATCAAATGCCTTTCTATCTCTCTCTAGTATCTGCTTAACCTCCTCAGCGACTGAATTGGAGGTCCACGTATCGACAACGATTCCTCCCACGTTGACTGCCGTGCCTAAGCCACCGATGACAGCACCAAGGCGTAAAGCCACTCGCAAACTAGGGAACATAGCACCTCCTAAAACCAGTACGGCACCGGCGAGTCCTGCTCCTCCGCCATAAACCTTCATGTAACAACGGCAATAAAAAGTTACTTTACGTAAGCTTGTGCTGGTGCGCCCAATTAATTCGGACATTACCTTTTGTTTGTTTCCACGAAAACAGAATTTGTGGACTTAAGACCGAAGTATTATAGTGAATACAGGGTTGGTGCGCACGAGTTGGTCAGCATTCCGAGGAAAAGTACATACCTTGGCCTTTCTCGCGCGTTCATGCCACGTACGTAGATCCTTGACTATTGCACGCAGAATCTTTACAGTTTCTTGTCGCTGCTCTGCAAAATCTCTCGCACTTTGTTGTAAAATTGCAAGATGCCTGCGAAGTTCAGTGGCTACATCGTGATCTAGGAATGAAGACGTTGAAAGAAATTGAGTATAGTGGTCCCGTAGGCCTACATGTACGTGCATAATGCTGTGAAAGCAGCAATTCCTCTACCGATATCAGCCAATCAAGAATTAAATTGTTACTTTATACATGATGGCTCAATACATGTACATAACAAGTGTTCCGCGTGAGGAAGCATGTCACTTGCGCTGCCGCCAATGAACCGAGTTTGACCAAAAACGTAGCCATGGAGATTTCAGATGATATGTGTGGCAAAAGCAAACCCTTAATTAAATCAGCATGAGGTTCAATTAGACAGTAACTATGATAATTCACTTCTCTGTGTTCGTTTTTAAACGAACATACGAAACAAAGAAAACTAAAGCAATTAAGCACAGGTACCTCTCCCCGAGCGAGAGCGTAGGTCTGGTCGTGCCAACGTTGATAAAGCCATTGTAGTTTGAAGTGGAAGCTCCGAGATCCCAGAGGGAAGATAAACCCTTCTTCCTCACTTCCTCTTGCAAAGAAAAATACACGTAGATTGCACTGTGTGCCTTTATTCAATACAAAGCAGTGTACATGTAACCATTCAGTTCGGTTTTTATACTCAGCATGTTCAGTATGCAATTAACAGCGGAATAACTTGCTAGGCTTTGATGAATTATTAACCACTGAAAAGGAATGTTTAATACGAACAGATATCGAAGAGGCAGCTTCGTTAGAAGGCAATGGCGGAAGGTATAATCTGTGTGGCAAATATACCCACCAGGAAGCAAGAGGGAAATTACACGGGGGAATTCCCAGCAACCTTTGTCCCAGGGTGCAGATCACTAATTCAAGTGAGAATTTCTGGCCAGCTCATTAGCATTAAAAGTGCCCCCCAGAGTATCTTTTGAAAAAGGAGATTGTTTGGCCCCCAAAATGGTGAGATTGTGTAAATCATTGCCAGGATCAACTCCCTGGGTCTTTGAGCTTTCATATGAGAGCAGAAGGGCTGAAAACTACGGTTGAAAAATGGTCCTAAGTGCCCGAGAAAGTTGAGGGTTGCCACTTGAAAAATGGCTGCAATCAGACCTCGGAAAAATCACTTTTGGGGGGGTGA